AAATGTAAAAAAAGTTTGAAAATAAATAGCCTATTAAGTCTAAATATTTAAGTATTTGGCGCGGTGATGAACATCATAGCAAATACACAAATCTGAATGGCTGTTTAAATAATTTAAACACGATTCAGAAACAGAAAGGAGTGCAGCTGCTTTGTTTTACAGGGTTTCCAGGGTAACGGCTGCATTTAAATGAATTATTATTATTATTATTATTATTATTTCTGCAGTTTAGCGCCATCTGCTGTCAGAGAGTGAAAGAGCGTCTCTCACATGTTCCGCCGTGCGCTTCTCGTCCGCGCTTGTTTACATCAGAGTGCGCACGCGTCTTTCACGCAGCATACAGCGGTGTTGTGCAGTTTGACCAGTTGATGGGAAAAGTATTCTTAAAATGCATTGAAAATTCTAAATAATATATAATTATTCACGGTATTTAGAAGTGCCCACAATAACAATATTGTGCATATCCATTACTGAGATATATCGCATTACCGAATACCGGCACAAGTCTAGTTAAGCACTAGATTAGTTATACAAGTGCATTGTTTTACTTTTTGTGATTAAAAGACAAATATTTTGTCATTTGAAAATTTCTTAAAGTATTAAAACATTGTCTCGTTCTAGTGAACCAAGTATCTGCACTTTGTCTACCTTGTGAGCTAAGTGTATTGTCACACCCCTAGTGTCTAAGAGCATGATAAAGCTCATCATTTTCCAAGTCTATGACATAGCTTTCATTCTTCAGGTCAATCATATATTCATGAAAAAAATCAGTTTGAATAAGGAAAGCGATAACTTTGCCACAGTATCCTTTCACATGTAAAATTTGCCACAGCCATTGCATTCTTTGCATGTGCTGCACTTTATTTGTACCATTTAGTTTTATTAGTTTATTTATTAGAATTTGAAAGATAATAACAACATTGATTGATAAGTGAGATCTGATTTTAGTCCTTGAAAACCAAAAAAGTAGTGCTAAAAATGTCCTTGAAAGTCCTGGAATTTGATTTTGCAGTATCTGTACGAACCCTGTTTAAGTTACCAGTTCTTGGACCATTTTTATGTTTCTGTTGTTGTTAAGTGAACTGAACTGTAGTTTTCTGTAGTATGACTTAATATCTTTTGTTGTGCTTATTTGCAGGGGTTTGTGATTACATATCAGTATTACTTAAAAATAAATAAATAAATATTATTGTTGTTGTTTGCATTTCTAAATAAAAATATTAAACAATATAAGAAATATCACTATTGTAATAGTTCACCGTAAAATAAAAACACTCAGTATTTAAGCAAAATAAAGTTGCATGATCCCTTTATCAGTCTTAAAATCGATGCCTCATAACCGTGTTCATCTGCAAGTGTCATAATATCAGGCTGTTTGGTCAGATCATAAAGAAGACGCGGTTCCCGCACTGGGATGAGACTCTGGAGTTGAGTTTGGATGAAGGTGATGATGATGAGGGTGGACGCGTGACGGTGGAGGTCTGGGACTGGGACATGGTGGGCAAGAACGACTTTCTGGGAAAGGTGAGCCGACAGTCGGCCGATTGTTTAAATTACTCGAATAATTGTTTATAACCATTAATTTAAATAATTTCAAATAAGTATACTTTTAAATAACGAACTAACATCCACTCCAGTAATGAATTGTTTCCATGCTGTGTGTGTGTGTGTGTGTGTGTGTGTGTGTGTTATACAGTCACGTTCATTAGTCACATCGTGTGTGTGATGGTAATTTGATTTAATGACGAGCTGCTTTCACGTCACATTAAGGAAGTGAATTCCCTGAGAATGATACTGCATCCGATTCACTAAAGCAAGGATTCCCAAACTTTTGTCAGCCGAGTCACTTTAAGCTAAACCATATTCTTGAAATACCCCTAGAATTTTAAGTTAATATTTCAATAATTTAACAACACATTTGCATGCCAGTTAATATTCAGATCAAATGCAGGTAAACAAAATATTATTATTTATATTTTTAATAATTTTATTTTTATTTTTTGTATTATATTATATTATATTATTTTTTTTATATCATATGTTTTATTTTATATTTATATTAATAGTAAGTGTTAAATATTTAATATGAGTGTTTTTTATGGGTAATATATTTAATATATGTATTTTAATGGATTTTATGAAAAAAAAATTTTATTTATCATTTGAAATGTTTTCATTTATTAATTACACTGCAGAAATCATTTACGTGTTCAATATTTTTGTCTTGCTTTCCAGTGCAAATATCTAAACATTCTTAAATCATATTTACCTGAGATTCAAAATGCTGAAACATTAAGTAAGTTCATGCATAAAACAAGAAAAAATTAACCCTTTGAATTAAGTGTATTTTTCTGACCCTACTGACAGAAATTTGTTCTTATTTTAAGCAAAAACTCACTTAATTTTGATGATTTTTTTCAGTAAACAAGGCTTAATATCTTAAGTCATTTTGCATCTCAAATGTATCTTGATTTTAGAATGTTTAGATATTTGTATTGGGAAAAAAAGACAAAAATACTAAGAATATTTTTCTGCATTTTCTTTTGCAGTGTAATTGATTCAATGAAAATGTTTAAATGAAAAATAAATGCATTGTAAAATAAAACCCACCACAAGAAAACACTTATTATGAATAATAAATATTGTAAAAAATTATATATTTATTTTACCTGCATTTCACGTGACCATTAACTGCCATGTGAATGTGTCATTAATTAGCTTTTCATTACCTCATGAACCCTAGTTTGTGAAACCCCAGACGAAAGGAATCATGCGAACACCCCAAAAAATGCATGTTGCACTCACAGGCCGGCTCTGATGATTTAGGTTGAGGAGGATAAAACACAATATCTAGTAGAGTGAAAGTGCTGTTATGAAGCACACAGACACATGATGACTGACCGTCTCTCTGTTTTTCTGTGCTTCAGAGGTAAACTGGGTGCTCTGCGTCTGAAGGTGCGTTTGGCCGAGGAGAGGATTCTTCCGTCTGTGTACTATCAGCCTCTGATTGAGCTGCTGGTGGAGGCCGTCATCTCGCCGTCAGAGGTACATCACACACCTGTCTGTCTCAGACCTCACAGATATCATCGGAGGACATCATTTAGTGCTTCAGCTTTACTCCAATAACAGATGAAACCTAGAACCAAAAATAAAGACTCTAAACCACTGAAGGTGAACCACAGTGATGTAACCAGTGTCAAATTTAGTTTAAATTTAGTTACATTCCTGAACTTGAACAGAAGCTGAATTGAGGCGGTAAACAGAATGCATAATCTTCATTTAAATTTGAATTTCATTTAAAGGGGTCATATGATGCGATATCAAGTTTTCCTTTCTCTTTGGAGTGTTACAAGCTGTTCGTGAATAGATAAGATCCCTGAAGTTGCAAAGACTAAAGTCTCAAAACCAAAGAGATATTCTTTATCAAAGTTAAGACTTGTCCACGCCCCCCTAAAACGTCTCGTTCTAACACGTCCCCACATGTCTACATCACTGTGTGGGAAGATTTGCATAACGCCGCCCAAATGTTCACGCAAAGAAAGAAGGCGTAACTTTATTGTTGTTTCCACCGCCGCTGCCATGTTGTGAAGACGCTGTGTGCTTCGTTGTGAAAGCGAAACTACGTTGTTTGGTCTTCCAAAAGAGGACACGACTAGAAATCAGGGGTTAAGTTGTATTTACAACACTGTTCCAGAACACTTCAACCCAAATATTCAGATGTGTGCAGCACATTTTAT